ACTGTTCAAGACACAAAAACAATTATTTTTGCCTACAAGTTTTATATGTGTGCAATAAATTTGGTGATATTCTATTCATTATATATTATATTACATTGATTATAATTTATTTTATTAACATTTACTCTAAGAATATACTTCTGCTGAGAAAGAGTGAAGGTGTATATGATCATGATTTGCGCGATATGAACGTTCTTAACGACCATCTGACATTGTAAACTGTGTATGAATTGATTCAAGGGCCACCTCAGACTCGTGTCATTTATTGCCGAAAAGAAGTTTATACTGGAAACACTGTTTTGTTAAGTTCCCTCCGCTATATTACAATTGAAAAAAACTGTTAAAAGCGGTGTTAAACGCACCATTAAGAAATGTAAGAAGACAAAAAATAAAATGCATATTTGATAATTTTCATAGGTTCTATAGCACTATTCTGTGCAGAAAATAAAAACAACACAAAAAGAATGAAACAACAACAACAAATAAACAATCTACTCCCACAACCACATTCATACAAAATTTAGGATCCTACATGATCATCTTCAATACAAGGCAATCTGTATTAACTTGTAACTTAATATACAAAATGCTTCGCTTATAAACATACAGTAAATCAACATATCTTTCGCCTCGAATCAAGACATAAACGCGGCTTCAGATCGCCTAAAACAGCGATGCGCTAGTGAACGCATACCGTGTGGGTTGACGATGACACTGCGACTGCGCAAGCCTTGTCATTCTTTCTTTTTTTCTCACATTCTTTGCAAAGTTTATGTTTGTGTTTATTTTCAACTTAGGCGGCTTTTCAGTTTCATCTTTCAATATTCCGAATTGTCTTTCAGTTCCTCGAGGTATTTATAATCATTGGTTGCAGGTTTTCAAAGGTTGATGCCAGCTTAATAAGTAAGATTTGCAGTCCGTCATACCCAGATCTGCTGTACATGTATATAATTTCAAATTGTTCAATGAAATGCAGGCAGCTGACAGATTTTTTTTATATAAAACATTCTGATAGAACAAGTCTTAATACCCTTTTCGTTGATGGTTTTCACAGATATTTTTCCGCAAATATGCTATTTATCTAAAAAGTCGTGACATTTTCCTTCAGGAAATTATTTGACGTCACCAAAATCATTACGTTTTTTCTCATTCTTTATATTATATTCAAACAGTAACAGAAAATAATATCTTACACGTTGACCCTATGTTATGATTATATAAGAATTATTCACGACTGCTCTACATGCTTAAAAATTATAGCAAAATTACCCGTGTGCATCTCTTTTTATTTCACAATTGTTATTGCGATGACGTGCGGAATACTCGATAGTTTTGTACGTCAAATCGGTTGGATCTTAGCTGTATAATCGCAGTACATTCAGGAAAGTTAAAAGAAAGACATCACTGTAAAAGCATACGTCTACTGAACATTACAAAATTTAATGTAGAAAACCCCTAATGGACACTATAAGGAACTGTAAAATTGACAGTTATGTGCCTTATAGGTCACCTTTAAGGAAACTTTAAACACAATTTACCGTGTGGTTTATGAAAAATAGACATTTTTCTGAACTAAAACTTTGCTATTAGAAGGACTTTTTTCAGAATTGAGGAAACTCTAAAAATCTTTAATATTATCATTATGAAAAATGTTTTCCTGTTGCTCATTATTAAGAAACAAATAATAACATTCAGGTAACACATTAAACGAGCAAAATGATTGTATACAATGTTTAAATATGTAACCCTACCCAACCCGCTTTAAACACTTATTTGACCATTTTGCTATGTAAGAAGCCTTATTCAAAATATCCCTAAAATTTACAACAATGAGGGCTGTTTTCAAAGTTTTCCTTAAGTTTCTAAAAAGTATATTGGTTGATCTTGCAAAATATAAAAAATTTTACCGGGTTATTTTTATTTTATTAAACTTTGAAAATATCTGGTACCATATTTGCTATTGAATTTGGCCATATTTATCAAATAAATACCTGCAATAATTATATAATTAAAATCAAATACTCTTTTCTTCCATTAGGGATCTGAGAGATACATAAAAATGTTTAAAGAAAAAGAAAGAAAAAAGTTGCCCCCTCTGGGGTTTGAACCCACGCCCCACTGTTTCAATGCAGTTGACAGTGATTCTAGCCTATTTGAATATTCTTCAAAAAGAAGATAATGCATTATGTGTATACTACCTTAAGATGAGATTGGTAAAGACTTTTATCGATAAAAATTTGCTATTCCGCCTGAGCCGATTTGGGCATAGCAACGCTTTTCATTTACAAAATAATGATTGAGAAGTAAAGCTAAGTCTGCATACCAAAACTAATCAAGCTCTGAGATGTTGTCATATTTCAGTCGGAAAGTAGCAAGCTACCTTAAATATGATCAAATGTCATCAAGAGCATTTTTGCATGTGGAAGGAAGTGTGTGTTTTTCAGATGTATTAAATGAAACAAAAAATTAGAGACGATATTTGGTGATTGGTAATTTAAATCAATTGAAGTATTTGTTTTTTTGTTACTTTTGAAATTTTAATCATTTTACAGTTTCAGCTTTAATTTTCTTTAAACAGCCCTGGCAATGACAGAATTGTAGGCAAAAATAAAAGTGAGGTAGAACATGGTGAAAATTTTTTAAAACGAGTATTGTCATTGAAAGGTGTGACATTATATTTTGATAATTTTCACTGTGAATTATCAAATATGATTTTCACGGTCAAATCAGTAATCCACTCAAAAGCATAAAATAAACAATGTATATATTACTATCTAATTGATTATTATGTATGCAATGAAATGTTTGACTAGCATGTAATGTAAAATTGGCATGGGTTTCAATTCATGTAAATTAGAAATTAATGAAAATGTTATATAATGTCAATTAACTAAAGATTTGAAAATAGTAACGATTTCTGGTTATGTATACCAGAGTCTTTCAAATTATATTTGAAATACCCAGTGTAACTCAGAAAGCGGTTATTTGATATCTCTAAGAAGACAAAACAATATTCTCACAAAGTCGACGCTAGATGTTTTCTCACTGAAATTCTTAAACTCGCTCTCATGAGAGAAAGCTATACAGCTAGCTTACGGTAATCTAAATTTCCCACCCTTGACTGACATAATGACTGAATGTTGCACGAAGGGGCACTTGAGGTATTCTTTCACTAGTAGAGCATAACAGTTCCGTATCGAGTGGCTTAAAATCTAACACATCAAACAAACATGAATTAATAATTTAATATATAAACATCATGTTATCATCTCAAAAACGTAAATAATAAAATAATTCAAGGTATTCGGTTATATAGTACCTTCGGATTATAAGTCAATCTAACCGCAAACAAAATAAAATATAAACACCATTTATTCAATTCACTTATAACGACACTTGAAAATGTAGACGTAAATTTGAAGTTACTTACCATAATCCCGGCTGTGTGTATAACACAACATGTAAAACTCAATGAAGATAATATTAATGCTTTGATGATCTTTGGCGTATATTTTGAAAATCTCAGCAACGTCATAATGGTCAATATTCAAGTAAGAATGAGAAGAAAGAATCATGCTTGATTCACGACACTCTTCGATTCTATCTCTTTTAATACCAACATAATTAAGATTAAGGCAACCTGGAGTTTCTGAAAGGAAACAAAAAGTTTTCAAATTTGTATGCTGATAATATTTATGACATATTTCATTGCTAGACAGAATTGCAGAATTGATAAATACTGATTAATGAAACATCAATATGGATACCGTAAACGAATAAGATTATACCTCAGCGGTTGCTGAAAGTGACGTTTTGCCAATTCAAGTGTAGGTACATTAATTCTTATATTATAGGCCTCCTACGCTCGTCACATTTGCACAGTCACATAAAAGTAAACATTAATATTAAAACTCAAAAATCAAAATGTCTCAATTATTTGTTCTCATATTAATTATTCTGAATTTGAACTTTTATAATTTCGTCATTTCTTGCCTTAAGAAGGGATGCGAGATTATGAAAATCTAGAAAAAGTGTGAACCTTCGGAAGCTTTAATCATAACAAAATGACATGAAAATTGCCGAGTCGGTTTGATTGAGTTTATACATGAGGCATAACGAAAAAACACCAATCAAGCCTTCAAATTGCAAATATATAATTATGTTAGCTAAATATTTAAGCGTATCTTAAATCAAATTCAAGCACGGATATTTAAACACTCCACCGAATACCAATAAAATAGATGGAGAAAAGCTACCATGGGGAAAAATAAAAACATTTTGAAAATTATTTGACAATAATTATAGATATGACTTTATCATAACTTCCGTTATTTAATTTCAAATCAAAAGCGTCCACTCCTCGCACAAATGTTTTTGTTAAAATAGATAAGCAGGCAAAGCTCATGAAAAGGCGTTTATAAATGCAAGCTTTGCACAAACTTGAACACTTTTTATCCCACATTTGAATATAGGAATACTGTTACTATGAATTCCCTTATTTTCTATATGTCAATTTCAAAGATGTAACAATTATGGTGTAATCAAGAAAAGGATAAATACAGCTTAACACGCATTATCTGAATGAGAAAGAAGTACATTCGTATGCTTGAATAATTGAATAGTTAAGTCATACAACCTATTACCTTTACAGTTAAAACTGCATGTCAAGAAAGCTTAAATAAATGTAATTATCAGAAGCTTTGAAATAAAAATATGTGTTTGTTTTACATGATATCAATTTCCTTTAAGGAAATAAAAAGGTTTCACAATTGTAAATGATGATAACATCACACGTTTTATTTTAAAAAACATATATTATACAAAATTTAAGTCAGTGAAAATATTTCATATAGTTTTAAGCAATCATCAAAGTATTGCAAGCAATACAAAAGAAAATCCCCTATCGGATAGAACCCCAAAACAGTATGAAGGGCCATGTCCATTTATTTATGCCGTTGTGAAAGCCATGAATGAACTTTGATCTTTTTAGTTCTTAAATATCAAAAGAATCTACCTTCGGCAGTTACAATCGCTCGGAATTTCAACGTTAACCATATATGAAGGCAGCTTGCCGTTAAAGACACCAGAGTTTTGTTTGTTTCTAATACGAAGACTTCATTGTTAAAACTCCTGTCAATGTCAAATCCAGAAAATCTGTTGATGTTTTCCGATACTGTCAAGTTGCAATCCTATAATAAAAATAGCCAGTACCTAACCAGTGGTATATGATAAAAGTATAAAGTTGGATAAAATATACATACATGTCGTTGGAATTCCATGATGCGAATTAAAGTGAAGACGGACGAATCAAGATATTGAATAACAAAGAAAAACGTTAACCTATAGACTAATATATCCAGCAAGGTTGTATGTTCAGTAGGCTTTTGATTAATCCAAAGTTCTTGCCAGAGAGCACCGAGCACGAATTTGTTAAAAACAATGAACTATTGCGAAGTCAATTTAATACTAAATTAAATAATTGAAAACATGATTTCCAATGACATTCAGTTTGAAATTCGAACAAACTTGATTTCAAACTGATAAAATTGATTTTCCAATTATAATTATATTAAGTCCAAGGTCGGAATAGATATCAGAGAAGGTAATACAAGTAAAAAAGAATAAGTTTACCCAATTTTGTTACTTACGAAAAAGTGTAATTCTTAAAAGGTTTCAGAGATAATGATAAGATAATGAACGCATACCTTAGGTAGTGATATATTAGTGAAAACAAGTTTGGCGAACCGCCGGAGGTCAAAACCCACAACCCATATAATGTCATAGTCCAAATTCGTCCTTAGGGGAAAACTTGGTGACGTCAAAATGGAGTCTCCATCTAAGTACTGTACGTTTCCAAAAAACGTGTTATATGACCCTCGAAAGCTCGGAAACGGAACCATATATTCTGTTTATCAAGAAACGATTTGTATTAGCTAAACAAAGAATTACTGGACAAACATCATCATCTCAGTTGTGAGACCACATCAATAGAATCAACAAACGTAAGAACAAAATGAAAAATTAACGAACGAAGCGCTATTTTTTAAATGACGTCACAAATTTTAGTGTTTAACAAATGCAATTGATACTGAATACCAAGCATTGTAACACGAGATTTTCGATTATGTAGGAGGGAGACAAAAAGTGATCAATAATGAATGCATCTAAGGACATAAATTGCGATTCTTCATTGTTTTCACTGATTTTCTGTTATTTTGCTCCATCAAGAGATTCACTTCTGACAGAAATTCAAAGTTTCAGTCCCCGGACCAAATCTGTGAAAGCTTTTTCAGAACAAAGGTGTTTGCACTGAACAAATTTTTAGCTTTGTAAATAAAAAGAAGATAGAAGGGGGAAGGCCAGGCGAATACAGAGAATTTGGGAACACGGTTTTTTCCCTGTCTTGCACTCAAGACGCTTTGAACGATGACGTGTTGTCATGCAGAAATCTGACAAGGTTCAAATATGTTGCGGGTATTTTTTTTTGTTTTGAGAAAATTTTGATTTGTAAAATTTCCCATTAACTGATTTGCATTAAGATACAGCAACTTGAATGGCGGGACATTGAGCTGCAAACAATACCTTCTAAATAATGCTGGTCTTTTTTGCAATGCATGGACTTTTTCGAAATCTTGTTTTGGTGGTCAAAAACTGAATCCCTAATGAACGCCAAAACGACGCAATTGTAAATTTTGCAGGCTCGGTTTGATTGAGTCTGTACATCGACGGTACTGGAAAGCGCCAGTTACCGCTTACACTCCCTAGAACCAGCTTAAGCAGAAATATATTTATCCTAGGTTAAGGTAATCGAAGTTTTACTGTATTGAAAATCATTGAATATGATACGCACGATTTTCTCGTGCGTCAGTAATATATAATAAAGTCGGATAGATGTGTATATCATTCGAGGTTTTCTGCATTGCTACACACGTTTATTTTACTCTATCGTGCACTGATACCCTCCCACCCTCCCGAAAAGTTCACGCAGTCATAGTTAATCTGTACAGTAACAATGATTGTTCTTGGTCCATTTTTTTTTTGATAAATCGTTGTAATCGTTTAAATCGACACGCTAATAAAAAGGACAAGCATATTCTTACAACTGCAGAATAATTTTGCAAGGTTTATAATTGATTTATAAATACATAAATGTATTAATGGTAAATGAAGTATGGTATTATAAAGATGTATTTTAAATTAATTCAGTCAAGTTTTTTTTTACGTTTTGGTTACGATTTGAATTTAACTAAAATATTGTTAATTACTTAAGTTTATATTTTTCAGATTTTGTTACAAGAACAAGATGTACTACTTTCCCAGGATGTTCGTTATTTTGGAGAACGATTCTTTAGTTAGTGAAATACGATACCTTGAACTTTTATGATTTCAATTTTTATAGTCTGTATATAAGAAGAGATTCCATATTTTATACGTTTTTGTAAATGTTCTGAACTTATAGGTGGAAAGCGTGCAGTTAATGAGCGTACATATTCGACGTTTAATTACATTTTACATAGTAAGTGGGTTATTTTTATGGATTTTCTCATTAAATTACGTCAGAACACTTACGGAAGGTGGCTGGTCTTGAGTTTTGGTTTCCTACTACGTCCCCCTCCCACGATGGAGTAGGGTTGCGCAGCCGACTCGCAGCATTACTGACAGGGAAAGTACGTTCATAACTGTGTGTTTTCCATGTTAATGTTCATAATAAAGATATGAGATTATTGTAAAGAAAGTCCTTTTAGACTACATAGATTTATGAAACGTTGAGATGTTAATGTCACGTATGCTGTTTCTAAGAACATGTATTAGTAATGTAGATATACGGCAATGCAGATAACAAATCCTAAATGTGAATTTATGTATTTGTTGTTCTTTCTTCCTTCGATTGCCTTTATTATGGGATAAATATTTTATTATTGTTTGAGCGTAGCGAATTAGGAAATAATTCAACATTTAAACTCGAAACTGGTAACATTTTATAATTAAGAAGCAACCGCAGATGTGTTCCTACACCGGTCATCATGGGACCTACACTGTGCCACGTTTTTATTTTCCATAAAAGCGGAGTATGGTTCACTTTTATAGATAATGACTGTGTCTTTAAAGAAACAGTATTTTATTACAAATAACGAGTAGAAAATATAGCAAGCTGTAAACATAGCTGAACAGATTGTATTTTTAACTGAATTGGTTATCAATATAAAGCTTACATGTATATAACCTGATAACCTTCATTCCTTCTATTTTTCGCAATATTGACAGTTTAAATTTCTAGATGCTTAATATTTGAACACTTGTAAGATTAGCCGCTGATAAGGTAAACAAAAGGAGAGTGTTTTGAAGTGTTTTGTGTCATAGTCAAGACACAATCATTTACCTCTAAAAATAAAGCCAATTTTTGAGTATGTAAACAATAATACAGGACTTTGCTATCATTTTGTATGTTTTTTTATTAGCGATGGAAACTGTTTTTAATTCTTTATTATTTTGCACTGAGAAAATGAAATTGTTGACGAATAACAATGTGAATAGAATTTCAAACCGAGAAAAAGCGCATTTCAAATTTGAATTTTCTTTATCATTCACTCTTTATGCTAATATGACTGCAAGTATCATACTATTATACCTGAATCCTGTAGTAAGCGCCCTCTCCCATGCCTTAAATATCCTATTTATCTCAAACACATAACCAATAAATCGGTTCTTTCAAATATAAAGCAGAACATTTTTATAGTTCGGACGAGTAAGAATGCAACATGGGTCGTATAATTTATCATTTATCATATTCCTGCAATTAATTGTATTATGTATTTTAAATTACTTTTGATATCAAGTTTTAACATGAGGCTGTTGTTTCATGACTTGGCTAAAGGAAATACTCGTGAGCTTTCTTCATTAAAATAAATAACATTGGTATGTGTTATAACTAAAACTTTTTTCTCTTACAAGGCCTTCATACAAAGAATCCAACCAACCAGATGAACACACTTTTCAACAGAAATATTATTTTAAAGGCACTTATGTACTAACCTTTTAACAGAAATGTAATTAAAGAGGCACATTTATAATTGCACAGGAACCAACAAACAAATTGCTAAGTAACAACATATTGATTTACTTATGTAAGTTAATGCAGTTATTTACAAGGTTTCAGGCATAATACTCTGACCGACCGGCGTATGGAATAATTACATAAACAGTTTGAAAATCGTTTTATTTTATTGACAAATTTATGTGAATTGTGTACGTACCATTTGTTTTTAGTTTTGCAAACCACTGGCTACCTTCGGCAATCTGAGAACTTTTCCAAATTCCAAGTTCATTACCCATGTAGTGATAACAGAGTTTCTCTTTACTGATACTGGCAACGCTACAACTTCTATTTAAACTACACAGATTTTTACATTCCTCAACACCTGTATTTTCAAAAACCGATGAGTTTCCAGATCGCAATTCTTGTTTAATTGGCATCATTTCAGATAAACTGTCGCTGTTTATGTCAACGATACCTGTTTTACGATAAAAATTTAGTCATGTGTTCTCAAATATAATATATAAAGTTATAAATATGGCCGTCACATATGTAAAAATGTAACCGAAAACAGCTATAAAAGTGAAAATATAACTTTTTTGTCATTTCACACATTATAAGATTGATGTGAACATGTTTCCAGAAAAATATGTGTCAATTTTTTTATTCAATAGTTTAAATTAAGATTATGTGTTAAACTATATGTAATCAAACTAATTAATTATCTTACGTGTAAGTTTACAGCCGTACAATGTAAAAATAAGACATCTAGATCTGGTTGCTGGATTTTCAAATGAAGCATTAAATTTCAAATATCTTGTCCTGATGAATCTAGGAAAAATGAACGTCTGATTTATGTTCCACCAGTTCATCGCGGGATAAATTCTAAATTCCTGAAATAATGTCATTATTACTTCCACATTATTTTTGCATAGTTGTAAGATAGGTAAGAAAATCCAATCAGGCTTAAAGCCTAAGGAATAGAAAAGAAATTAAGATAAAATGAAGCACTTAAAACGATAAAATCTGGAAAGAATAATTTAGTAATAAAAACAAGTTCGTTTGTTTCTTGAATTTCCACCGATAAAAGAAAGTCGGCTGATCCTTATGTTGTGTTACTTTTGGCTATTTACATTCACACCAAAAATGATTGATTAACTGAAAATTCGATTTAAATACAAATACAATTTCTCTTTATAACATTTGAAAGCAACAATAATTAAAACGTGTTGTCTTCTCTGGACAGTGCGCTAACTTTTTTCAGTGCCGTATAGATTAATAAAAGCAATACATAGATAAAAGACATATTTTGACTTACCTGCCTTAACAAATATTTCTTGTTTAAAGGGGATACCTTTACGGCAAATCATCTTAATTATAAAAGGGAAGGAATTCAGCAAAAATGACTTTAAGGATTATCTATCCATCAGACATACATTTTAAATTTGATAGTAAACAAGTACTTCATAACTTTTATAGTTTTTGATCAAATGTACACAGGTTAACGAAAAGGTTAATTGATGCCAAAGTGGGTCAGAACACATCGTTTCTTCAAAGTTCGAGTTTAAATCCTACAAATTAAAGTAAATCAAAATGACATTATATAGTATGGGTAAGAAATAATCAAAATACACTAAATCAACAATGAGTGTTTTTTTTTTCAATTTCATACTTATTTTCACATTTGTAAAGGAGACGGAATTACCAGGTCATTGTATTTCTGTAGTTGATCCTTACTAATGCCAAAATATAAACTGAAAGTGGTCCATGTGTCACAGTCTTTGGAAACATGAATACCAACCCCTTCTATTGTTGTCATAGAAATCAGATCCACCTAATGTATAAAATTTGTACAAGAAAAAAGTGTATATTGGATTATATGTTTCTGATGCATCTCAAATTTATTAAGTTATTTAATTATATCTTAATGGTACGTAATATTAGCACAAAACTGTCCGTATGATACATTTAACAATTCATTTGTTATAGATAATAACGTACGATTATAAACACATCCAATCATTACATTTTTTTCTGGTCATTTTGAAAAAAAAAGGTTTATTTCAACAACGTATTACGTTAATTCAATAATTATTTTACCATCACTTTATAAAAAATATATTTTGTGTTGAACAGTTATCTTGTTAATAATCTTGCATTGACATATGTAAAAAATCTTATTATATGCGTTTTCGTCATATCAACATATATAAATAAATTTTAACTATTTGTGCTTCCATAAAAAGAAAGTGTGTATATTTATGACATATATTTTACTAACCAAAATCCAAGGGGTCAAGTCTTTAAAGGCATGAATCAAGTGTTCGGTGTCTGACGTTTGGTTACGTTGGGCAGAGGAAACAGTTATCTGACTACCTGGCACTTGTTGATCGTCTATATAAATACTTTCAAAGCATGGTTCGCCGTTGTCTGCGAGTAGGAGGGAAAAAGTTATTAGTAACAGAAAAACACGAATTATGCCTACATTCGCATACGTGCGATAAAACCACGACATCTTGATAATGAGTGTAGTTAAAAAGTTAACCGTAAAGGAAGCACTTAAAAGACAGTGAAATTGTTGTGAAAGATGATACGTTATTACATGTATAAATATTTGTTGTTTCCTTTTTGCGACAGATGGTTTAGAAAGTGACATCGATCTTGACTATTCCTTTTTACTGCGTTATGTTGCACGGTAAAAGTAATATGGCGACTTTCCTACTATGCTGGTAGAAGAAAGACATAAGATGCCTTTCCGTGCATTATTTAAGCCACAAGCCAGCAACTTAGTAGAACGACCGACGTTTAATAAGCCAGCTGGAAAGCTTGCTCATATCAAAGAAGAAAATATTGACTTAAAATGAATAAAGCTTTTAATCTGAATTCGAAATCATCATTTTAAGTCATCATTTAAATTTTGAAAAAGGATACTTCCAAAATGCATGTATGAAAGAAATACGTTTATATATTTCATTACTTTAAGAGCGGATATTGCATGCACGTCTTCAATGCACAATGATTTAAATCCTAATAAGCATAGCAGAAAAAAAAACGGGAATATTTTATGGATACAAATACAGTTACTGTTTCTATGTCTTTTAAGTAACAAAGGCAATTTATACTACAAATAATTGGAGCACTACCATAAGATTATCAAAACAATACCATTGCACTGTTTAACTACATTATTTTAAGCTAGGCGATAAATTAATTCTTCCATTACAAGAAACCAGTCGTTTATGGCTGAAATGGCTCACCGGTAAAAGATTTATGCAATTGCCGATAAATATAAAAAAAAGTTACGTAAAAAAGAAATTAACAAGTAACAGATTCAGAAAGTATTCCTTCTGTCAATTAATATTATGAAATAAAAAGAGAGTTAACTGCTTTGCATTCTTATGAATATGTGCACGCTTTAGAAAGGAAAACAAAATCCAATTTTTATAACCTGGCTTATGTGATATTCTTTTACACATCAGCCAATTCAGTGCTGTAACGGCACATTCTAATGTAAATATATATTTTACTTACAATCATCATCTCCTGGTTATTGACACATAGAAGTGTAATTCACGATAACCTAATTTCCATATCTGTATTGTTATACATTTGTAGTATTTTGGAAATTCAGCAGATGCCTAAAAATCACATATTTGATAAAGATCGCTATGTCTCAGATGTTATTCTTTCTACTGAAAATCGTGTTTCTTTTAAATGTGAGAACATGTTTGAATACAAGACTATGTTAACACTATGTTATTGAATTTCATAAAGTATACTAACGTGCTTCTATGCTTGATATGGATAACTTAGATACACGACTGTTTATGTCTTTCTTGAATACAAATGTAAAAAATCGACCCCTTGTCCTCCTGAAATTAAAAAATAAAATAATCTAAATAAAACCATGTCATATCCAATGAAAAGATAAAAATTAAAATATATTCGGTCGACTGAAGAAAAGAGCATTTTATAAACTAGAAATGTGTCGTCACCCAACGGATGCCCCACCATGCAGCCACAATTTCAAATGTTATAATGATATTTAGTATCAAATTTGTTTGAACAAACTATTATCAAAGCCCTTAAACTATTTTATGGTAACACAAACCATTTTTATACAAAGGCCATGAAATTATTCAGTGTAAACCTTTTGCAAATTATATATGGCATATGTGTAGCCGAGATCATGACTACATACATTTCCAAAAAAGTAAGAGTGTAGAAACTGACTTTTTTCCAACTTTCAAGTGAGATAACTTTGTCCAAAATCATCAAACCATGACCAAATTAAATCTTGACCAGCTTTTTGTAACATTTTCTAAGGTTGTAAGAAATTTTATCCTTTCATATATTTTTTTTTATTTTTCTGTATTATAGGTAAAATTCAATGATGAATTCAAATGGAAAAAAAAATATGTTGACGCGTTGGGTTTTTTCTTTTTGCAAAATGGCAGTTTCCATGGTAACGGATCTCAAAACTGTTAAAATAGCCACATTTTCTATAAAGATGAAAAATGTATCAGACAGCTATTTATACACAACAAACATTATTTTGTACATATAAAACTTTATCATTGGATTCTACATGAATTAAACAATGAAATAAACATATTTCTTTACAAAATGACTATTTCATATTTATGAACTCAACAAAAAAAAAAGAGAAAAATAATATGAATTATGTAAAAATATAAAGATATCAAAAAATTCCTTTCATAGAATTTTCTATATTTTTAATATATTATGTAAAAATTCAATGGTGAATTCAAAAATAAAAAATATGTTGACGTGTTTGATTTTTTGTTAATGGGTAGTTTCATTGGTAACCATATCTCTCCAAAATTTCAAAATTGCCACATTTTTCTTATAAATCAATAAAAAAGTACAAGACAACTTAATTTAAACAACAAACAGGACTTTATACATAAATAGTTTTATCTTTTGATGCTGTATGAAATTTAGAATAAACAGAACATAAATATTTCGCTACAAAATAAGTTTTTCATATTTCTTCACTAAACAAAACAAAAAACGAGAAAACTGAACACGAATCCTGTAAATATATAAAGATATAAAAAAAATTCTTTCATAGAATTTTCAATATTTTTAATATATTATGTGAAATTCAATGGTGAATTCAAAAATACAAATAAACATTTAAGTTGACACATTAGATTTTTTCTGAAAGGTCAATTTCCATGGTAACGGCAGATGTAAATTCTGTCAAAATAAGCATGCTTTCTTAAACCAATTAATTGTACCAAATGCATTGTTTTATATATAAACTTATTACAAATGACATTTTCTTTTGATGCTATATGAAGTGAATGTGAACATGTTTTTATGCCACCGCAGCATCTGCGATGGATTCACCTGTGTGTGTTTGTAGGTGTGTTATATAGATTATATAGTGAACTTAAAAAATCTTCTTTTGAAAAACCACTTGTCCAATTTCAACCAAACTTGGAAGGATTGATCCTTGGGTGAAATGCTTTCGAAGCTGTTCAAAGAATGGCACTCCATGCAGAAATCTGGTTGCCATGGCAACCAAAAGGAATTACAAGAATAAATTTTAAAATTCTTCTTGTTAAGACCCACAAGGCCTAGAGCATATATATTTTGCATAAGGCATTATCTGGTAAACCTCTGCCAAGATTGTTCAAATTATACACCTGGGGTCAAAATTGGCCCCGCTCTGGGGTCATTGATTTTCACTATATGTAGATACCATAAACAAACTTAAAATACCTTCTTATCTGAAGGTACAAGGCTTAGAGCTTTGATATTTAGTATATGATATCATCTATAAATAACCTGCCAAAGTTGTTCAAATTTTGCCTCTAGTGTCAAAATAAGCCCCGCCCTGTAGGTTTTAGGTTTTCTTTATATCTATATTGTAAAAACTTGTAAAAATGATCTTCTCGAAATTGACAAATGCTATAGCTTAGACATTTTGCATGAAACATTGTTTAGTAAACCTCTATCAAGTGATTTTCAATATGTCCATAATTATAGTAAAAATTAAAAATCTTCTTGTCTACAGGTACAAGGCTTAGAACTTTGATATTTGGTATATGATATCATCTATAGGTCATGTAGGTACTCTACCAAAGTTATTCAAATTATGCCTCTAGTGTCAAAATTAGCCCCGCCCTGGGGGCCATAGGTTTTCCTTATATGTATATAGTAAAAATTATAAAATCATCTTCTCTAAATTGACAAAGGCTAGATGTTAAATATTTTGCATGAAACATTGTGTAGTGAACCTCTATCAAGATTGTTCAAATTATAGCCCTGGGGTCAAAATTGGCCCCACCCGGTTGTCATTTAAATCTTCTTGTCTGAAGGTACAAGGCTTAGAGCTTGGATATTTGGTGTATAATATCAACTATGGATCCTCTACCAAAGTTGTTTAAATTATGCCCCTAGTTTTAAAATTGCCTTGCCCAAGAGGCGATAGTTTTCCTTATATGTATATAGTAAAAACTTAAAAGATCTTCTTCTCTGAAATGACAAAGGTCAGAGGTTAGATATTTGACATGAGACTTTGCGTAGTAAACCTCTACCAAGATTGTTCAAATTATAGCCCTGGGGTCAAAATCAATCCCGCTCATTGATTTTCAATATATATATACATACAGTAATAAATTAAAAAATTGTCATGTCTGAAGGTTCAAGGCTAAGAGCTTTGATGTTTGCTATATGATATCATCTATAGGTCCTCTACCAGAGTTTCAAATGGGCCCCGCCCGGAGCATGGATTTGCATTATGTACACATAGTAAAAACAGAAACTAAAACAAATGTTTTCTGAATTAGAGAAAGTTACAGCTTTGATATTTGACATCAAACGTTATTCGGTGTATCAAGATTGTATGAAGTAAACACTTTGGTCAAAATTTTACCTTGCCTAAGGGGCTAGTGGCCTGCCTTCTTGTCATTTGATGTACAACTTTGAAATTTGAACCATGTGCACAGATTAAGATGTAAAGTGAACTTTTATATCAGCTGACCTAGATTTTAACAACGTATCTTACTGTGTTGTCCTTTGATGTACAGTCATGAAATTTAGGCCGTCTGAAATATGACCTTCACAATCAAATTCACTAGACTCAACTGCATTGATAGATTCCTACTCTGATCTTTATTTGAATAACAATAGATTCAACCACTAATCTGATAATAAGAATTAGATAGGTCAGGGATCTATGCATTATGGCAATCTTCAATTGTATTTAAAAAAAAATATGTTCCTACAATACTATTTAGTGTTGTATTAATGCGGTGGCATAGCATTTTTCAAAAATGCAATCTTGTTTAAAATAAGTTTGCCATATTTATTTATTTTAAAAGTTTCTCGACAAACAATCATAACAAAAAGTAAGTATTCCACAAAAAATGAAAATGCTTGAACATTTCTTTTATAAATTCATATAGTTACTATATTCTTATGGTCATTCTTTTCATACATTATTCAAAATTAATAACTATCAAAATCTTTAGGTACAGGCATACCTTTTTCTGGTTTCCATGGTAATTCATAAAGTAGCGAATTTAAAAAAAGAAACTTTTCAAGCATATTGTTTGAAACAATCATGTTTAGTTCTGTACATATTTCTAGACAATGTGTGTTTAAAATTACCTCTAAACAACAACCACCTTGTCAATAACATAAATGAAACGTTGAACAGTGAATGATGGTGATAAGTAATGAAAATAAATCGTTGGAATAATTTGTTCACATTTTGCAGTTATGTTGATAATAACTGTTTATTTTATGCAATCACATGACTTTTGTATAGTTTGTATTCAATGTATACAGGTTCAAATCATAAATAACTGAACACACTGTCTATTATTCTCTTCGCAAAGGTAACCCTCACTTTTCCATTTACTTTCCCGGTAAATAATTTGTATAAACCATCACGACCTCCACGATTTACTGCGAGTCTCAGATGTGCCAATGACAAACCACTTTTGGCTATTTTCATTGCCATTTGTTTACTTACATCTTTTACCTTTTGCATATTACTTTGAGATACCAAGTTTACATCAGCTTTCTTTTCAAACATGTATGTGTCTATTGCTGCATCCATTGTTATACTATGGCAACACATCTGGCTCGGTGTTCACTAAAGTTCTTAAAGTCAAAATCTCAGCTCAAATCTGAGATTGTTCTCAACCAAGAAATTGAGATTGAGATGTTTCTCAGTTTGGCTTTCACTAAAAAATATTGAGAAAAATCTCAACTTAAGATTTGAGATTTTTCTCAGATTTATTGAGATTTTGCTGTCACAGATTATGTCTCAGTGAAGGTAAATTATTATTCTCGTTTTTTTTTTTTTTTACTTTTTGCATGATTATTTTGATAAACAAACATGATAAGATCTTTTTTTTGCAAATAAAGTTCCTATAAATTTTTTATATTAAGTAATAAATTGACTGATAATTGTGAATGACATCATGCACTGTAATTCATGACGTCATAAAATTATGACGTCACAATCATCATACTAAATATAATTTATTGAATTTTGTTTCATTTTCGTTTAAAATAGTTTGCAAAAAATATGAAAATCTTCATTCATTTTGATAAATTATTTTCATTAGCATTCAAATATTGATACATTTGCTTCTTGTTTTTTTGTTGTTTTTTGTTTGTTGTTTTAAATAAAAGCAACTATATACTTTGTAACAAAAAGAAAAATTTCATATATAAGTCTCCGAAGCCCATAAACAATGCACACTAAGATTACAGTTTTAAGATAGCCGCTTATGTCTTGAGAAAAAAGCAGTCTCACTTGAGAAAATTCTCAAATGTTGAGAAAAGGTTTAGTGAAAGCTAACTTGAGATTTTTCTCAGGTGAGTA